GCTGCTGCTGCTGCTGCTGCTGACGACGGCTGCGGCGGCACTGGTGCTGGTGGTGGTGATCTCGGTCGTGGTAGTGGTGTTGGCAGTGGTCAGGCTTACACGGGACGTGCTAAGAGTGCTTTGTCTTGACGAGCTTGCTGTGCTTGTGGTTGCAAAGGACGTCCATGTTGAACTAGATGTGCTAGTGCTGCTTCGTGTCTCTGTCTCAGGCACAGTTGTGCTTGCGTTGCTTTGGCTCGTGGTGGTCGAGCTTGTTGTCCTGCTGAGCTTAAGCGTAGAAGTCGTGCTGGTTGATGTTGATGATCTTAACGTTGCTGTCGATGTCGAGCTGAGGCTAGACTCACTGGATGTGCTAGTCATGCTCCTTGTCGTTGATGCAGAAACTGTGGTGCTACTGCTACTTGTAGCAGTTGCAGTGGATGTGGTGACGGTGAGGCTTGCACTGGTCGTGCTCGTGGTGCTCTGGCTTGCGGTAACCGAGCTTGTTGTGCTGGCAGAGCTAGTCGTGGAGAGTGTGCTACTTGATGATGTTGCTGCCGTGTGGGTCGAACTTGCACTGAACGTGCTGCTGCTCGTTGCCGTGCCCACTAAAGTGCTACTGCCGGTTGTAGTCGTGGTCGAGCTGGATGTGGCTGTCGTTTCAGAGCTTGTGGTGCTCGTCATGCTTGTCGTGCCCGTGACACTGCTGGTGCTTGTCATGTTTCCTGTGGTTGCAGAGCTGGCTATTCTTCTGGTGCTCGCCGGGGACTCTGCACGTGCTCCGCGATCAGTTTTTGCGGCGGCTTGGGACAATCTGGCGTTGGTTGGGTGTCCAGCTCCGACGAATGCTTCAGCATTTTCAGCTGAAGTCGTGCTCCAGAGTGTCCACGAGGCATTGCTTGAGCTGTCGGCAGCAAGATTGTTGCCCACGCATGGCGGCAGATGTAGCACTCCCTCCTCAGAAACGAGCATCAAGATCTGGTCCAACTTCCAGCACGAGCTGCCCTGCCATATGGCCTATACTCTAGTAGCTTCGTGCAATCTTTGCTGACGCTTCCTGCAAGGCCCTTGCTGTCCTGGCAGTGAACATTGAAGGATGCCACAAGCCCTGGCCCACATACTGCCTCTCAGAAAACTCAAGCTTGGTTGCAGGCATGGTCCCCCATAAGTCGCTTGGAATGAAGGGCTGCTTTGCTCCAGCTCTGGCCTCGCATTGCTCGCCTGACAGCAGAACCTGCAGGCAGCGGCAGGCATATGCATATGGTCAGCGGGTGGTCAGTGCTTTCGAGGCTTTGGCCTCTGGACAGAAGAGGAAGAAAGGCCAATCCATGTCCACATCGCTGGTGTTGCACTGGCTTGAGCCTGTGCTTCTGCCGAAGGCCTGCAAAGGTGCAGTGACCGAAAGCAACGTTGTGTACTCACGATGCCTGCAAGCTCAGAAGCAGAATGGACGTACGGATGAAGCGCGCAGTCTGCAGCCTTGTGACCTGCCGAACCACGACTCTGGAATTGCAGGACTATGTGGGGCTGTGATGGCTTGTTGCGGGCACTGCCACCGCCTGAACTGGCTGCCCTGATTGCGCTGCACTCGCCGAAAACACAGGGCAGCTCATTGGAGCACATCTGGAGCGTGAGCCTTGCCACAACTGGCAATCAGCTCTGAAGAAAGTATGAGCAGGACTCTATTGAGCTATGCTGGCTTGCCAGGGATATGTTGATATGGTGTGGATGCTGGGATACTTGGCCATAAAAGACCAGTCTGTGTGCGCTGTGCAGGTGGAACTCGGCGTTTCAGCTGGAAGCCGTGACCGGAGCAGTTTGCCAGCATCAAGCGGAATCATGTCAGAGCTGCCCTGCTACAATAGATTCAAAACGGCTCCATGCCTCACATCAGAAACTCAGTCAGAATCAAAGCACTCGTCAGCATTCAGCCGACGAAAATTCAAGCGAGACAGCCCACATCTGTAAAGTTACTGTAAGTGAGACAATCTGGCCTATTTGCTCTGTCTGCCCGGAAACCCAGTCAACACTGCCACGCTGGATTTTGAAGGTACTAGCGCAGCAAGCTAACTTCCATGGTGGATTCCGCGTCTTTGAGCTTCGCACCACCTGAAAGACAAGTATCTTTACTATCACCAGCGTACAGTAGCAGCACAACATTACACTTGGCAAAAAATGGGTCCCACCCGGTCGTCGGGCTTTCCCCAGCATATGCTAAGGACACATGGAGGACGGGCTCTATTTGCTTTCATGCCCTTCTTGAACAGGCTGGACCTTTCGCCAACCTCACGCGTTTTCATCACCGTTCGCAGCCAGCAGGGTCCCCTGGACGAACAGAGTGATGCCAGCATCATGAGTCTCCGCGGAGTCCCTCCTTGTCACTGTCCTTGTCGCCCTTGTTCTGCTTCGCCAGGAAGTAGGCTCCTATTCCCAGGGCGGCGCAAATCAGCAGCAGGACACCGCCGATCCTGGCAGGAGCTCGAGAGTCAGGAAAGCGAAGGCTGAAGGGCAAATGGCGGCTGATGGCGGCTGGATGTGGGCTCCAAGACGACGCCAGCGAGGCAGAGGTCGCATGACGAGCCAAACGATGCCCAGGACCATCAGCCCGCAAGAGCAGCCGAAGCAGCAGGACACAACGCAAAGCACCGCGTCCACGACACCTCAGTTGTGGGATGCTCGGAGTAAGGGCGAGTGTTGGCATCTCAGAACGCGGCCCTCGAGCATGTCCTGCAGGCAGCTGCCAACGCAGGGAATCAAGTTGAGACCTGCCGCAAGCATCCGCAAGCCACAAGCCCATGCCAATGCCGCCAATGCCCCCATCGTGGAGGCACGAAGGGACATCAACAAGTCTTATGTGCCCACAGTGCCTCACGTACGAAGTCACGAAGGGTGCGCTGCAGATCAAACGCACGGTCGCAGGATACGTAATCGCGTCTTAGAGAGTCCGTCCATCACCGATTTGCCCTGTTTGGGCACGATTTGCTGGATGGCTTCTAGTCGCAAACCGTGACTGAACACGGTGTCGCCTGAAGCTGCGGAAACCAACAAAAAAATTACCACGCCGACAACTGCGACAGCAACCACCACGACCACTGCGACGACCACGACGACCACCACGACTGCCGCCATAACCCTTACAATAGGGCCCAGGCAATCCCCAACACCATCAGCTGCAGCAGAAATGGGCTGGAAGCAGCACCACCTGTCAGAGCAAGATGTTGGCTAGAACCGCCTCGCTGTTGATCGACAAGTCAGCCAGGGCTGCACTGTAATCCAAGCAAAGCAGAGGCCCACGAATCGCAGCATCCAGGTAGCCGTCTTGGTGATGCGCTGCCATGCAAACGAAAAAGGAGATGCGGCAAACCGATAAACACAATGGTCTTGGTTTCTTGCAGTATTGGCTTCTTCAAGGGATGTCGAAAAAGCTTGCAGAGATTGCACTCCTCCCACCCTGAGTGTACTCACGGCCCTCATGGACATCTCAAGACTTGGCCGAGGCTTCAGCAAGGCATCGTATTGGTCTGCGGAGCAGCCTCGGCGGACGACTCCGGCAAAAAGAGAGCCCGGAGATCCCGGAGCTTAGAAGCCCAAAAAGTGGGAAAAGCATCGAGGAGCGAAAGGAGCGGAGCGACAGCGGAGGCAAAAATCACTAGAAGTTCATCTCACTGGCCTGTGACAGGCGTGTCAGGGTCAGAAACTTGCAGAAAAGCGCTTTGGCACATCGGTGTACGATAACTTGTCCACAGCACATGCATAGAAACAGTATGAGCAGCAAGCCCCAGCTGGCAGGGATGTCAATCGGTGTACTTTGACCTTCCGGTATGCACTATGCTTGATCTGCGCTCGATCCCGGCAATCCGCTGCCTCCTTGCACAGCACTGATGACAGATGCTCCGGTGTCCCAGTTCTTGTAGTAGCTGAGACGCATGCAGCCAAACCTGGCGAAACAGCACAGCACAGCTCGGCGATGCTCGTCGTAAGCTGCTGGAAGTGGGCTCCCCGCCTCTGGGCACTGCACGTGACGACATAGGATCCCGTGGGACCAATGGCCTTTATGTACGGAATGGCATGATGCCGAAAATGCAGCTACAGCACATGCAATCGAAGTGGCCGTGTTGTGCGGCGTGATGGATGCATATCCATGTGCCTGTGGGCCTCGACTCATGTGCGCGACCATGCCACAACACGTTTGCGCGTGCGCACACAGACTTGCTGAGCCACAGACCTATCAGCGTGTGCGCAGCTTTGAACTTGTGGGCAAAGCTGTGCAACGGAATGGGGTTGCTCATATCCGGATGCAACCTGGGAAAGCCGTACATGAAACGGCACGAGCCACGAGAGAAAACCAAGCTGCACGCCCACCATAGCCAGATCCACCACCTGAAATCAGCATGCACTTGCGGACAGCGACTGCCAGGTCTGTCTTGCAGGCACTCTTCGCCCGAGATTAGGAGCAAGCATGCAGTTGGGAAAGGAGGGCTGCAGGACGTTACAACATGAGTCTTGAAATGATCGCCACTGTAGATTTTGTGCTTGCACCTTGGATGAGGTCTTTGCTCACAGTCAGTGGTCCCACCTGGACCGAGTGTGCCTCGCAACGTCTATCGCTTCTCGGCGAGCGTGGACTGTGAAGACCAGGAGCCCAGCTGCGGCACTCTGAACACGTTGAGGAACATCGTGTGGCCACGGAGGGTTGCCTCGGGCATGGAACATCCTGCTACTCATGGATCTTCGAAACTTTGCTTGAGGCGGGCACTTAAGAAGCCGGGACAACCATTCTGTCTCGCCAGATGGGCTTGGTGCCTCGCCAGTCGGAAGGAGGGTTGTGGCAGCAGCGGTGCAACAAAAGAAAGGCACAAACATGCCGGGTATGCATTTGCGAAAACCTGCTGGAGTCAACGTAGGAATCTCGCCACTCCATGTGATAGCTGTAGATCTTGCAGGTTCAGCGGGTTTTGCTGCCCTGGAAATATCGGATCTCATGCCTTGATCTTCGTCTTGTCCTTCTGGGTCTCAGTTCTGACCGACTCCACCTGAACACAAGGGGCATATGATCCTGGGAACAGAAGCAGACAAGCAGGTTCATTCCGCTACAAGGCGCTTGACGGTCTGGAAAGGGAAAGATTAGCAAAGTCTTTGCAGGAAAGGGACTTGGGGGGCTTGCTGGCTTGCTCAACGGCTGCATCTGAAGCGAAGTATGTGGGCAGATGGAGTACTCGCGGTTTACCTCTAAGCTGAAGCTGTGAGCAACCATGCCAGAGCCACGCACTGAAACATCTCGGCTTTCTGTGCGCCAGCGACTGACCTGTCATGAAGCCGCTCGGGAGAACACGGAACCTGACAAGAATGGCGGGTCCGCCTGAACTGTATGGAACTCCCCAGGGATGCCGTGCCAAATGATGCTGGGGTGAATGGCATGAGACTCTCCTGCAGGTCACAGAGAACAGATCGCAGAGATCGCAGATCCAAACAGTGCATCATGGGTCACGAGAGAATAGCGATGGTCTCCAGCCTGCTTGATAGGACAGGACACGTACGCGACCATGTCCTGGTTGCATCGGGTGTAGACAGATGACCGGTCTGACTTTGAGGCTCGTGCCGACATCCAGTGTGGTTGGGCATCACAGTTCATGACCTCCACACATCTCACTGGATCTGCAATGTCTAGTTACCTGCTCTGGACATGCAATCTACAAAGTTGCCTCGGCTCTCTTGGATGCATACAAGATGTTCTTGTGAACACACATGTAGCTCTTCTCGTTGTACCTGCATGATGCCCAGATGCCCAGGACAGATCCAAAACTCGGCCGTGCCCGCAAACCCGAAACAAAGGCAACCCGCGGCACCCGATAAGGAGGAGTGCACATGGGAACAGGGCCATGCCGAGGCACATTGTGCTGAAAGAGCCCTGGCAAAAGTCTCACAGTCGGCTGCCTCACCCTGAGTCTCTGCAGGGTGGCACATCATTCCGATTTGAAAGAACCAAACATGCAAGCAATTCCGACATCTTGGCCATGAAGGAAGGCTCTCCTGGCACGCGCATGAGAAGGACTGTCTGCTACCAACCACCCTCAACTAGAATCAAACTCAGAGAGCTTGTCGTCACCTGCGATGTAAGCCCACGGTTGCATAAGCTTCGACCGTCCAAAACACTACTCAGCAGACGAACACCCCGAACACGAAATGCGTGTCTGAATGCTGTACTTCGAAAGTTCACGACAACGTCCTTGGTCGTTCATGTTTCACAAGTGATATGCCTCAGGCCAAGGATCACCATCAGCATAACGGCATAGCAGCAGAGCACACCGACAATACCGACATGTCACAGAGAGAGAGAGAGACCCGAGATGGGGAGCCGGCGTCCTGCGCTGCACACCTGAGCGAGCAAGCCCTCCCAAGCACTCAGGCCGCACCAAGAGGATTTCATAGACCCACCAAACAAGGCCCCCTTTGTGTCCCCAGGCCACTCCGCTACGTCTCAGCTTACAGAAATCGCTCCAAACAACTCTTACATCCTCCAGAGCCAAATCCCTGTATCGTTATAGCTTGTAGTGACCTCGTTCCAGCTTTGCTGAGGATTTAGTCTGGGCCTTGTAATTTCCGTGGCAAGACCTACAACACAGGCAACTTGACCTTTCATCTATAAGTACAAGGCTGGATTCACTGAGCACCTAGCACAAACCCAAAACACAAGCACCCAGTGCAAGCCAGTAACTTCGTGCCGTGGAGAGAGGCCCTATCACTCTGTCACTTGGCTATGACAAAGATCACGTCTGAGCACAGAAACTGCAGGGCCGGCCAAGTGCGCATGCTCTTTCAATGCTTCGCATTCAGCAATGCACTGCTTATATGTCCAAGACAAAAAGTCAAGTCAACACTACATCCCAGAGCTCTTGTCAGACGGACTTCGTGAACTAAAGTTGGTCGACGTGCTTCCGGCTGAAACACCTGTGCCTGGGGCTACTTAGCAGCTCGTCACGGTGCGGGCTTCGCACATGGACGTTGCTTTGTGGCAACCAGGGCGGACACGCAAAACGATCAGAAACCATGCTCTGCACGGATCTCCACCACGAAGCTGGAAGAGCTTCCATCGTATCTGGCCACACTTCATGACCCTTTTTGAAGGCTAACAGTTGGATGAGTGGTGATACGGCCGGCGAAGGCAGGATGTCCTGTGCACTCGGCAGGCATACATGATATACAGATAAAGCCACAATACTACCCTTGGAAAAAAGATCTCGAATCCTTTGCTCAACTGGAAGCTGCAACGCGAAACCTTTCTGAAAATCGGCGCGACACTGCAAGCAGCCTACTTAACTTTTTCCATGTTGAGCTGGCACGCTCGCAGACGAGTCTTTTAAAGGTCCGACCTGTCGAATAACACATTGGCTCGCAGTTGCGATAAAAGTAAACATTGTGTCACAGACTTGTGCCCACGTTTCAGGGCCGTCCGTGTTATCAGGGTGAGTCATTGTCATACATCTCCTGGAGCTGGACTGACTGGTCGTTGATGTCTTTGTTTGCCTGTCTGCCAGAAATGCGACATCATTACTATTCGTGCAAAAAGTTATGCGAGATGTGGCCTTGTGCTGATGTGCCACTGCAAAGGCGCAGATTCCCAGCACCACGCAAACTAGTAGCAGGCCGCCACCAATCCTGGCACACTGGCACAGGTGAAGGCACTGTTCAGCGCGTGCTTTCTCTTTGCCTAAAACAGTGCCGGGCAGGCAAAGGTCTCATGAAGAGCCACACGATGCCGATGACGAGCAGCCCGCACGAGCAGCCAACACCGCAGGACACCATGCAGAGAAGGGTGTCAACCATACCTGACTCATCAATGCGACCAGCACCCAGCAGCCACACCGAGGCAGAGCGTGCACCGAACGAAGCGTGGCGCTGCACATGCTGGAGGCCAAAGCGTGTCGGCTCTCGTCACCAAGTCTCTTCAACGATAGATACACACAAGATACTTCCAAAATCTTCCAAAGCAGAATCAACATTATTGAAGATGAATTGGAAAAGTACACGTATGTTTTGTCAGACACTGTGAAAGGGCAGAACACCAAATGGCCAAAGCTTTTCCTTCAGCCCGTGCAGCACCGTGCCTTCCAGCAAATCCTCCATGAACTCCCCAACGCATGGGATGTACGCAAGACCTGCAATCCACCCATGGCACAGGGTGACAGACAAGAAGAATCACTGCTTTCTAAGGATCACGCAATCACCTACAATGTCTGCAGCGGCGGCTATTGGCCTCAGCTATGTGCACGGCATGCCGAAGCTGATGGGCAAGACGAGCTTGTCTGACATTTCCTGGCCAAGCTTGCGGCTGAAAGCAGCAATACCTGGCAGCGCAAGACAAACGAGAACTAGGCTTTCGTCGTCAACAACAACGGAAGGCCAGGTCGACACCGTCAACCAGGTGAAGACGAGGCCCAAGACGCGCAAGAACCAGGTGCGGGTCTCGATAGATCGACTTCATCAACTGTCATTCTTTCAATCCCATTGTTCCGAGTGCAGCACAGCATTCGCATCTTCAAGCTGCGCACTGAAGCTTGCCAGGCTCATGGAACCAGCGCTCCTCTCACTGAGTCTGAGCAGATTGGTTGCTTCACGACTATGTATGAGGCAAAGGCAAGGCATCAAAGGAGCTCGTAGAACAGCCTCGTCTGCAAGCCCACTAGAGTCACTGAGGCAAACGCAACCGCCTGGGAGACGACGGCAACAAGAACGGAACTTGGAACCACACCCCAGCTTGCTGGAACTTGCATTGGCACGGTATAGCCTCCGCATGCATGCTGCTTGTCCAGGATTCATGCTTCAGGTCTGACGTGCGTCTGATGCTGCCACAACACCTCCTTCAATCTTGCTGATCAGGGAGACGGATGCATCCCAGTTTTTGAAATACCGGATCTGCATGCATCCAACCCTGCACCACGGTTGCACAGAATCTTTGCTACATGTCGCAGCAGACAACATGTCACAAGCACCAGGAGACGAAGCAACTGTCGAGATGGGTTTCTTCCCGAAACAATACAGCAAGGGCGCGTGCCTGGGCTGCGAGCATGTGACAATCTTTGTGCCTGAAGCATCAATCGCCTTGGTCAGATGTGCACAAGTCAAACAGCTGTGCCAGCGGTGATGTCTGCTCATAGCTCCGAAAAAGCTGCCGGCTGCTGTGCGTGTTGTGACGGAAGAGAATCCACCGCCTCACCAAAATCAACACAGGTGAATCTGCAGCACATGTGCGTGCTGTGGAAAAGCCACAATCTGTGACCCTAACGCGGAGGCATGATCGGCAGCATGTGGATAGGAAGGAAACTGTTGGCGAAGCTGGAAAGCTGCACGGGCCGATCCATGTTGGGCACCAGCCTCCGGCATTGCAACTTGAAGACGACAGAATGACCGACGTGAGGAGCTCAGGTGCTAAGGTAAGCACCCAGAAAACTGGCTGTTGCCTCCTTGGGGCTACACCGCTTTCTTGGCAACACATATGCAACAAACTTTGATTCCTTCATGAGCGTCCTTTGAGCAAGCTCTTGCTCACGGTTACTGGGCCAGCGCGGATCGATTCTGCCTAGGCCGCAATTCAATGTCTTATCTATATATCTATATACTTAAATGTCCATATCTCCATATATCCATAACACTATATATCTACATCTCTATATCTCTATTAACCTAAATGTTTATATATCTATATGACTATATACCTATATCTCTATATACATATATATATATATGTATACCTATTTATCTATATATCTATGTATCTATACATCTACATATCTATATAACTATATATCTGTATATACCTACATATCTATATATCTATGTGCATCCATATATAAATATCGGTATATCTGGCTATCTATCTATATTTATCTGTCTAAATATAAATATATATACATATATGTATGCATAGACATATATATATCTATATATCTATATAT